ACATGCACATGGCCAGGTGCATGATCCAGTGATGGGCAAGGCTTGCTCAGAGGTGACACAACCTAAGACAGGCAAAAATGCATAAGATTAGAGGAAGGAGATAGCCATCTCTCCTCAGGGAGCTGTCTATGAGGTGGGTAACCCATGAAATAAAGTCAGTCCAGCCTTAAAATAAAAATAAAAAGGGGGAGATGTGGGGACCTAAAGGCCTCACCTTGCAGAAGTCCAAGAGGAAGTTACTGGGGCACGGCCTGACTTGCTTTGAAAGTTTGAAGAATACTTCCGCACTGCTGAGGAGTGCATGATCTGCACGTGACCATCCTTAAGATACACCCTCGGGGGGGAGGGGGGATTTCCAGATGCCTTTATAAGCTCTGTAACACCTGCAATAAATGAGTCCCTGCTTGACTAGGCTCCCCGTTGCGCCTGAGTGTTCTTGGTATTGGGGGCGGCATGGGCTGGTGAACGGCATGCTTACTCATCCCCAATCATCACTGCATGGGGGTCGCTGGTTCAAACCCCCCGCAGGTGCTGGGATTAAAAACTGGATCTTCTGCAAAAGCAGCCAGTGCTCTTAACCACCGAGCCACCTCTCCAGTCCTGAGTTAATCTTCTTTAAGGGAGTGATGCTAGATAGACTGAACAGGCTCCAGTGGATGAACTCACACCAAGGGACATCTTGGTACACAAACTTGACTCAATAGGCCTTAACATATATGACAGAATGCATGAAATCTGGCAATGGGGTGCAGATAGGGGAGGGGATCTAAATATGAATAAGATGTATGAAATGCACAAAAAATTCAATAAAAACAAATTTTTTAAGAAATAATAAAAATGTTTTAAAATGGTCTGGAGAGATGGTTCAGCAGTTAAGAGCACTAGCTGTTCTTGCAGAAGACCAGAGTTTGAATCCCAGCACCCACACAGCAGCTAACAACTGTCAGTAACTCCAGTTCCAGGGGATCTGATGCCTCCTCCTGTCCTCCAAGGATAGTGCATGATACAAGTACACTACATACATGAAGCAATACACACACATAAAATAATAAAATGTTTAAAATTGCTTTATTTCTCCATTGTCATCATATCTGGTGTGATTATTGATCTTGCTCTAGAAGCAGCAGGTAAAAGAGAGGGACTCAGAAAATTACTAGATGATGCAGTTGCTGCCCCTAAACACACATTTAATGAAGCATCATTGCATAAACAAAATTTGTGCACAAGAGCATTATAACTAGATACTGCAATGCAAATTGTCATAAAAACTATGAAATTCGAAAGACCAAGGGATTAAATCAGTGCCAATTCCTTAAAAGAGTTGATACTGACTGTGGTAACACCATCTACTTTTCAAAAGTAAAATGCCTAAGCTGAGGCCAAACGTTGGGAATATTTTATGATTTGAAACATTATTAAGCTATTTATGGTGTGATAAGGCACCTTCTTGACCATAGCTACACCATGTTGGAGTCCAGACTGAATCTAGCCTCTGAAAAGTGAAAGGCAGTCAGCCTAGGGTGTTGGAACAGATAGGTGCGGCTCAGCTGCACCAAGGTCTGAGTTTGAATACACATTAGCAGGCCTCTGGTTGCCTAGAGAACAGATAGGCATGTTCCTAATTGCTCCTGCTAACTGCATATTTATGGTTTCTGTGTTTCACCTTGGCTTGCTTTTGCAGAATAGTAATTGTTAGAGGGCTTTCTACCCCTGAAGCTAGGAAAATGCTTGGAAACTCAAAACTTTTCACCCCAGATATGGTTTTTGTGTATAAAATTTTGTCCTAAAGACGGCTCGGGACTGCACTTGGGACCTGAATGCTCAGTGTAGTTGCCAGCAAGCTAATAAAGGCTTTTCTTTAAAGATAATCTTGTGCTCCTCAAATCCATTCTTTTTAATGCAGCCAAGATGATAATTTCAAATGCAAACCTGATTATTTCATATAACATGTCCCGATTCTGCTCCAGACCCCCAGTTTCCATAGCTCTTTGGATAAAATCAGAATCTGTTGCCTTGCCTTACATGACCTAGCCCTGCCCACCTCTTAGTCTTCTCTGCCATGTCTTTCTGCCAGTCCTCTCAGTTTCTTTTTTAAGCAACTCAGATAGCACTGGACATTTGAATCAAAATTTTTGCAATTTTCATTTTTCATACAATATAGTTTGATGATATTTAGATCCCCTCCCCTATCCTCACCTCCTCCTCACTGGCCACTGGCCAGTTTATATATGTGTGTGTGTGTATCTCACGCGTGCCTATAGAGTCTGATTTCTGTCCCTAAATGTCCTTCAGTATGACTTCATCCACTGGGCCCACCAGAGTCCCACCCCTGTAAGACACTGTCTTTCCAAGAAAAAAGAGTCTTCCAGACAGCTGGTCAGGTTTATTCATATGAACTCACAGCAATGGTGACAGCATGCACAAGTCCTATGCAAGCTCAAATCAAAATCCCAGCATAGACATGGGGGAGTGGGTAAGAAATCCCAATCCAACCTAAGGAACTCATTCAGTTTCTTAAATGTAAGTTTCCTCCCCTTTGATCTTTGCATATATGTTTCCCACTACCTATGAAATGCCTTTCACCCCCAACCCTACCCTCCACATCCTTTTACCTACTTATCCTCCAGTTCCTGTCTCAGTGATATCATGCCAACTCTCATTATTTAGAAGTTCTTGTTGAATTTGCTTCCCCTTAGCACTGATGGACCACAGTTCAGTTTTATAGCAATTTATGAAACAAGAAGTCTTCACAAGGACAGAAACTATGTCTTCTGGGGGAGGAGGGTGGTACTGGGGATTGAAGTCAGAGTCTCATGTCTTTTAGGAAAGCAAACTACCACTGAGCTAGATCCTCAGTTCTCAAGTGCTGGAATTTTTATTCATTTATCAAATCATCAAAAAAGTCACAGTAAATAACATTGGTGTCCACTAAATATTTATAATATTTATTGAATAATTATCAAATAATGAAGTTTAAAAAAAAAAAAGGACTATATTTATAATATTTATTGAATAATTATCAAATAATGAAGTTTAAAAAAAAAGGACTGGGGCTGGAGAGATGGCTCTGTGGTTAAAAGCACTGGCTGCACTTGCAGAGGACCCAGGATGGAATCCCAGCACCTACATGGCAGCTAACAACTGTTCATAACTCCAGTTCCAGGAGATCTGACGCTCTTTTCTGACCTCCACAGGTATTGCACAACATGGGTGAACTTACATGCAGGCAATACACTCATAAGCATAAAATAAAAAAAAATTTTAAAAGGACTAAGACAATTGAAGATCAATGGTGACCTTAGAAAGTAGCTTGAGTTTACAGATAGTAGAAGTCAAACTGTAGGAATTGGTATTACTTTTCTGATAATACACTAAAACCAAGGCAACTTATAGAAGGAGGTGTTCATTGGGCTTACGATTTCAGATGGGTAAGAGTTCATCATGGCTGGGGAAGCATGGCAGGAGGCAGCCAGAGCTGAAAGCTGAATGTCACAACTTCAAGAAGGCACAGAAAACAGAGAGAGAAAAACTGGAAACAGGCCATGGCTATGAACTCTCAACACCCACCACTAGCGGCGTGCTTCTTCCTTCAAGGCACCTCCTAAACCTCCAAAAACAGTGCCACCAACTGGGACCAAGTACTCAGATACTTAAAGCCCAAGGGGAACAACACCTCATTCAAACCATCACAGCACTTGAGTAACTGAGCAAAGACAGTTAAGGAGAAGAGGTGAGCAGGCAGGCTAACAATACCCTAGCAGTCTCCAGAGAAGGTTGCTTGTTTTCATTTTGCTGTTCTCTGTCATTACTATTATTCCTCTGTACTGGGCAAAGAGGGAAAAACTAAAAATAACGGGATGTAATCAGTCAACCACAAAGCCACAGTTAAAGGGGCTTGAAAATGTCAACAAAGGGGTGAGGTAAGCAAAGATATCTTAAAGGATTGGTTAGCTTAATCATTACAACCAGTTGAAAATATTTGAACTTACAAATAAAGATGCTGTTGCATTAAAACCACACAGAAGAGAGTTGTGTGGCAATTAAAAGGTAAGGAAACCAAGTTATGCTACACCCCTTAGATGGATTCAGCAAAATCTGGCTCCTTTAAAAAATAAACTGTGGGGTCAGGGGTGGGGGGCAGTTTAATGGAGATATTTATAGAGTAAAAGAAACACACATACCAGTCAATCACAATGTGCCAACCTGATTGGATTCTGGTTTGAAAGAGAGGAAAAATAAATAGGAAATTGAACACTGGATATTCAATCATATGAAGCATTACATACGAAATAGGCATGATTATAGTACTATGGTTATGGGTTTGAAATGTCCTTCATTTGCTGGGCACCACAGTACGGGCCTCTAACCCTAGTACTAGTGGGAGAAAGAGGCAGGAGGATTATGAGATCAAGGCCAGCCTAGGCTACATTGCAAATTCCAAGCCACCCTGTGCTACATAGAAAGCCCCTAGTTTAAGGTAAAAGGTTATGTTGAATTTCCAAAGTAGGTAAGAAAATGAATCATCTACCTCTAAGACATACTGATTAGAGACTCTAGCCAATGAAAAATTCACACAAATGTAACCCAAAGATGGGATATTTGTTTCTAAGAATGCCTGCCCTAATGTTATATTGCCAATCAAGAGATGATCGTTCAAATCTCCCCAATCTATTTCTGCCATTATCACTATATTATTCATTCTATTGCCTTCCTCTAACAAACCCTGAAGTGCCTGAGTAGTGCATAAAGGAAGCTAGAGTAAGACGTAGGAAGAAGTGTTTAGAGGAGATAAGCATTCTAGATTTTAGAATTGTGCCTGTTTGTATAAGGTGGAAAACACAACTGTCAAGATTTCATCCTCTACATTCCCCAAAGCACTAGGCTTTTTTTTAACGGCATGTAACAAAAGTTTTAAACGTCAGGCATTATATACATAATTTTTTAATTATTACTTTTCATTACTTAACATATTTGATTGTTTATTATGTTAGCGTAAGACCGGCGAAGGGGAAAATAGTGCATTCTGGGCAGGAGAGAGCAGGTACAAGGAAGAGTGCGGCTGGAGCATATCATGGGGAGGATCACACCTACAGACCCAGGGCCGAAGCCCGCAGGCTGGGTCTAACCGAAGGTAGAGCACAGGCTCCGGGGCCATCGGGAGAGCAAGGCCCAGGCAGCCGCGCTCCGGAACCCTCCCTCCGGCTAAAGCGGAGACCGGGCCAACCTCTCCTCCGCCCGGCCCGCGGGCCCACCCCACCGCCACACACACACACACACCGCAAAAAGGGAGGCACGGTCTGCCGCGACTTCCGCGCCACTGCCCGGCGGGTTCCTACTTCTCCGGCTCCACACCCCAAACGCTCACGAAGGCGGGCCGAAAGAAAATATGCACCAATCACTATGTAGACGAGGAGGACGTCTGGTCTCTGGACCAATGAGAGAGATGCTGGGCGGGACCGAGGGCGTGGTCTCGTTCCTGGGTTTAAATCAGGGCTGCCGACCGTTAACGGCAGTGCGGCGACTGGGTGTGTTGCGCGCTTGCGCCGGGCGGAACGCTACCTAGTCGGTCGAGGTCAGAGGCAGCTGCTGTGCTGGGCGAGCCTGCGATCCCCGGGGAGCTGGGCTGCAGCGGAGGCCTGCGCTCTTTCCCCCGGACTGTAGTGTTCGGAGTTGCGGCTTCCTCTCCCCAGCGGCCGGCTCTGCCATTCCAGGTAAGTCCGGACGGTGCGCGGCCGCGCGGCTCCAGGCGGTGGTGGCCAGGCCCCTAGAGGTCACCGCGCCCCTGCCGGGCCACGCCGTCCGCCCTGCCCGGTGGCTGCACGGTGAACGCTCGGGGCGCGGAGCCGGGGGACCGGGAAGGAGCCGAGCCCTGGGGCGCGCCCGCGGCCAGATGGCGCGACTATTGTCTTTATTGTTCCACAGTGCAGGGGAGTCTGGCGTTTGGGTCACATCTTTTGTGGACCGTCCACAGAGTTTGCTTAGGATTTAGGATAGCCCGTAAAACTGAGGACCCTATGTAGCCCTACCCCTAGTGAACGTTAACCATAAAGTTATGCAATAAAACATCACTTTTTTGAGACAGGGTCTTCCTGTAGCCTCAGCTGGCCTGGATCTCAGAGATCCACCTGCCTCTGCCTCTCGAGTGCTTTAAGTTGGTAAGATTTTTCAGTATCCAGTGCTAATGAAGGGGGGGCAGAGCATAGTGTTTTGGAGATAAAGTTTTTCTAGAGTGTTGGACTTAGAATTTAAATTGCACCATAATCTCTCAGTTGTATCCACTTCCAAGAATTTACGGAGTTAAACAACCCACCCTCAAAACCCTCAATTGTAAATACCTAAAGCTGGAGCGTTATATAACTTAAATTTTGTGGGTTTAGTTTTGTTGAGACAGTCTCCCTATAGCCCCAGCTGGCTTGGACTGCACTGTGTAAACCAAGACCAGTCTGGCCTCTATCTCTGAGATCCACCTTCCTCTGCCTCCCAAGTGCTGGGACTAAAGGTGAGCGACACCACCTGGCTACTTAAGATTTTTGAAGAAAAGATATTGTTAGGTATTTTGGTCAATATTAAGCATATTTTTTTTACAAAGTATGAGATGCTTTAGTTTCAATATAAGTTTCCCTCTAGGTAATGAGAAAAGAGTCGTGTGTTTTATTAGAAAGCGAAAGAACTGACCAAAACCTGTAAGCCTTTTAAGTTGTATTTCACTATTTATAAGCCTTTGAGGGGTAAAATGAAAGGGACAAAGGCCTAGAGAGATGGCTCAGGAGGTAAGCACATTTGCTGCTCTTGCAGAGAACCCGGGGGGGTTGGGTCCTAGCACCCACATGGCAGACAACAACCATCTCTAACCTCCAGTTCAGGGGCTCCACCACCTCTGACCTGCAGGCCCTGCATTCACATAGTAACATTTATGTACAATGCAGGCAGTACACTCATATACATAAAAATATTTTAAGAGATGCCTCAGCAGTTAAGAGCACAGGCTGCCCTTGCAAAGGACCAATGTTCTGTTCCCAGCAGGCACTAACAGTCCCTAACCCCAGTTCCAGGGTATCCAACACCCTCTTCTGGCCTCCATGGTGCACTTACATACATGCAAACACTCATGTACATAAAAAAATTTTTAAAAGAGAGAAAGAGCCAGGCATGGTAGTGCATGTCTTTCATCCTGGCACTCTGGAAGCAGACACAGATCCCTGTGAGATCAAGGCCAGCCTAGTCTTCCATAGTGAGTTTCAGGCTAGCTGGGGCTACAAGGAGACCCTGTCTCAAAAAGACCAAAAATTTTAAAAATAAGAAAGTAGCCAGGAGCTGTGGTGCACACCTTTAATCCTAGCACTCAAGAGGCAAAGATAGGCAGATCTCTGTGAGGTGAAAAATAAAAGCTTTTGTTGGTTGAGTTTTGTTAATGCTTTTTTGTTATATATAGCTTTTAGTTAATGTGCTACTGCTTTAGAGTTGACTTTTTAGATAAGGAATTTTTAAGTGTTTATGTGTTTTGCCTACATGTATAGGTTGTATCGCATGCACGCAATGCCCACAGAGGCCAGAAGAGAGTGTTGGAGCCCATGAAACTGGAGTTAGGACTGTTGGGAGCCACCTTGTAAGCGCAAGGAACCAAAACTGGATCTTCTGCAGGGGCAACCAGTGCTCTTAACCACCAAGCCATTTCTCCAGCCCCTAAATGAGGACAATTTTTTAAATGATTTTTCTTTTCTAGGTTTCATTGTTTTTGTTATTAACTCAAGTACTGCCAATCAAGGCATGCCCACAATAAGGTAAGAAATTGAAAAGTTTGTACCTATATGTTTGAGTAAAGATAATACTACCATGCTCAATGATTCAAATAAAAACAGGACCTTGGGGCTGGAGAATGGTTAACAGCACTTACTGCTCTATCAAAGCACCAGAATTGGGATCCCAGCACCCCTATCAGATGATTCACAAATGCCAGTAACTCTGGCCCCAAGGCCTCAGACACCCATCTTAACCCCCCAGGCACCTGTGCAGACACAAATATATACATACACACCCATTTATTTTTAAGAAATGTCTTTACTTTAAAAATTAAAGGACAAAGCAGCTGTTTTAAGAACATTACAAGAAATCTAACTTTGTATCACTGTTTCCATCCCAAAAAATGGCGTATTTTCTGCCTCCCACTGCTAGGGCGTAAATGCCATTATACTGTACCTCTTTAGGATCACAAGGTCACCTTACCTGAAAAGGCTATTTTACTTTCTAAACTTGGAATTACTTCAGTGAAGTCTTTGTTCTGTATTCTACTCCTACTGAGCTGTAGCACTTAGACAGCATCAGCTTCCTGTGTTGTCCTGTGTATTCTATTTTAACTAGCAGCTTGAGGACAGAATCCATATATGTACTTTTTGAGTTTTAAACATGTTATTTGCTAGTTGGTAAATCTTTCATACACATATATAATCATAAATGTGGATAAAATTTGCAGTGACAGTTACTCTAAAGGAGAAATCTGAGTTTATTTGTTA